CACATTATCGTTCCCCCTCCGAAAAGCTGCCTCAACCGGATTCGTAGCGATCAATAGGTTTCACCGTTCTCGCGGACCGGCGCAGCTGGCTTCGTGGTAGTGGTAACGCAGCCAGGACTTTGCGCGCGGATCGGTCGGGCTGATTTGCTGGTCCGTGAGCTGTGTGGAGTCGACGCGCGTTGACAATTAGGCCGTTCTCCAATCGATAGGTGTCCGGGCCAAGCGTACGGTCGATGCGCAGTGGAGCGGAAAGCGTAGGTGTGCCTTTCTTTGTTTCTCTGCCTTTGACGCGAACGTATGTCCCGGGCTGCATCGGTGTTTATAATTTAGCATAGGAATTTTGGTAAGATGCTATGCGATTTGAAACTTCAGCATCTCTCGCTGATAAAACGTTATGTGCAGCATTTAACTTTGTGCGTAATGGCCTTCCTAGCATCAGCTCCGCTGGCGTTCTTCCTGTGGCTCTGTGGTCACATGTTCTGTAGGAAAAAGCCGCAGTTAAAACTGCATCCTCCCAGTCCGAACCTCCTATGTGTATGGCTTGTATAGATTCTTTTAAAGACCGGTTTAAACGTTTGATCATGCCGTTGGCTGCAGGATTGTAGGGCGCAGTTCTGGAGTGCTTAATGTTATGGCAATGTAGAAAATCTGCGAATTCGAGGCTACAAAATTGTGGCCCGTTATCCGTTACTATTTCATGCGGTAAACCGAAACGGCTGAACAAGTGTTTAAGCCAACGTAACACAACCGAAGTAGTAACTTGGTCGCACATGTGTACTTCAGGCCATCTACTGTAAAAAACATGTAGCAACAAGTAGATTTCGCTTATTCGTAGGAGCAGTAGCGAAAGGGCCCATAATATCAATGGCGATTTTGGTCCATGGTTTCATCGGGTAAGCAATTGGCTGTGTCGGGGCTTTAACGGGCCAAGAACTTTTGTCCGCTAATCGGCAAGCATTGTAATTGACCACAAATGTCTCAACGCTAGATGCCATTCGTGGCCACCAGAAATAGAGCCTTACTCGATTTTTGGTCCGAAGTATACCTGGATGTCCCTCATGTGCGTAAGCTATTATCTTGGCTATCAACTGGGACGGAGCTACAAACACCGAACCGCGCATCAAGCAACCGTCTACCACTGATAGTTCATGTCGATTTGCATAATACGGAATGAACTCACCGGGGATTTTGTTATTCTTGGGCCAGCCCTGCTGCATATATTCAATAATCTCTTACAGTAAAGAATCGTTAGAATTTTCCCTTCGTAGTTCCTCGATCGTCAAGGCAGACAGGTTAGCTCCGAGACTGCAAATTAGTACCGCCTCTCTGAGTCTCTCTTTTTCATCCTCCAACCCCACGGGTAAGCGAGATAGGCCGTCAGCAATCTGATTTTGCAAACCTGGCCGGTACACGATTTCAAAATCGTAGTTATGGAGTCTGGCATACCAGCGATCGATTCGCATTGGGCGAGATCCTTTAGATCCATTGCTGAGAAGAGCTGTTAAGGGTGAATGATCAGTACGCAGAATAAAACGACGACCGAACAGAAATAAATGCCACTTTTCACAGGCCCACACACATGCAAGAGCTTCTTTTTCCCCAACTGAATAATGACTTTCGGAATCTGCTAGCTTTCGTGATGCGTAGGCAATAACTTTCTCCTCTCCGTTTTGTATTTGTGAGAGGACAGCTCCGAGACCGACATCAGAGGCATCAGTGGACACAAAGGTGCGGCAAGATTCATCAAAAATGGCAACTAAGGGAGCAGACGCAACTCTCCTTTTCAGTTCATCAAAGGCATTTTGATGATTGCTGCCCCAAACGAACGACGATCCTTTCTTTGTTAACTGTCGTAATGGAGCTGCCACAGTCGCAAAATCCGGCAGATAGCGCAGGTTGTAAGAGCACATTCCTAAAAAGTACTTTAGTTCTGTCAAATTTTTGGGTGTTGGCGCTTTAGTGATGGCCCTGATATTTTCATCACTTGGTCGAATGCCACTGCGTGAAATGACGTGTCCCAAAAACTGAATTTCTGGTGCATTGAAGGGACATTTTTCTGCGATCGGACGCAAATTGAGATCACTGAGGCGCTGGAGGACTTTGTGTAACCTTGCGTCATGTTCTTCCTGTGACCGGTCGAAAACACAAATATCATCCATGTAGGCAACCTGCCCATCGATACCTGCCAGGGCGTGAGTCATGAACTTTTGCCAGGCGGCGGGCGCCGAACTCAAACCCATGGGTAAGACTTTGTACTGAAATAGGCCATCAGGAGCGAGGAAGGCAGTTAGGTGTTTGGAATCATCGGTCAATGGCATATGGAAAAACGCACTTTTCAAATCTAGCTTGGAAAAAGCAGTTGCACCAGCTAAACGTACAGTGAGTTCATCATTAGATGGTAAAACAAAGCGTTCTACGACGATCTGTTTGTTCAGCGCCTGCAAATCGTTGCATATCCGGACAGTACCGTCATTTTTCATGACACAAATCATTGGATGCACCCACTCAGAGCAATCGATGGGTTCAATCAAATCATTTGCTAGCATTGCTTGCAGGGCTGCAGAGACCGCTTCACGTTTCGCTAGCGGAATGGGTCGAGGTTGACCAATGGCGATCGGTTTCGCATTCGGTTTCAGCTGAATTCGATGCACACCACATGAAATACGGCAGATGGACTTCTGGAAGAGCTGCGGATAATGTTCCTGCCAGTGTGCTACGTTGACGGAAGAGATAAGCATGCGGTCGAATGATGGTACAATGTGCAAAGCCACCATAGCATTCCTCCCAAGCAAGGGTCGTCTGTGGTCCGAAGAAATATACACTGCGACATCGGCAATCACAGAATTCAACTGCAAAGGCACGATAATAAATCCTAATATGCTTAGTGTGTTCCCACTATAACTCCAGAATGAATGTGAGGTGGGATGTAAAGTATGCTGTGATAGGTAGCGTTCATAAAATTGGAAAGGCACGATAGTAACTGGAGAAGCAGAATCAAGTTCCATTTTCAATGGAACAGCACCTTTAACAGTAAGGAACAATACAGTACGAATGTCAGCAGCTGGAAACTTCGGTTCAACAACGGATATGGTTACACAACCTGAAGGTATGGAGTCAGCGGTGATTGAATAGATATTGTCTTGAGTTGGACCGGTAACATGGCATTCCGATGTATCATCATCTTTAATGAGTGCGACAGCCTGCGATCGACAACAGCGGGCATAGTGACCAATTTTACCACAGGTTTTACATTTGAGGCCGCGTGCGGGACAACCGGCAAAATTAGCTTTGTGAGACGTGCTCCCACAACGATAGCAAGACATTTTGTCTGTCGGACGTTGCCGGAAAGATTGTACTCTCGCCACATCAGCTAAGCTAGTGGAACAAAACTGCTTCGATTGCAATGAAATTTCTGTCTTTACTCGGGCTAATTCGCAAGCTCGATCCCACGTTAGTGTGCAAACGTCTTCCTGCAATAGCCCCTCACGTATGCGATTGTCAGCGATTCCAGTGATCAGTTGCTGAGTGAGCATACAGCCTTCAATCTTTTTCTCTGGAATAGACGAGTAGGCACACGGTCGTACTGCACGACTCAGCCGAGCAATGAAATCATTCAAGGGTTCGCCTGCTTCTTGGTGTATTCGGGAGAAAATATATCGCGCGGTAAACACGTTCATTTGGTAACTCCATGCACGATCGAGAGCATTGAAGGCGTCCATAACCGATTTGCATCCTTGGAGACCCAAATCATCGAATTGTCGCTGTCCCTCATCTCCGAGTAAATGACGAAGCAGCTTCAATCTTTTATCCTCAGTAAGAGCAGTAGGGAGATCGCTGATTAAATCCAAGTAGTTTAGGAAGGATGTTTTCCAACGGAACCAGGCATCCGATGTCGGTCTGCTGCCGCAATCAGTCCAAAATGGAGATGGGGGTTGGATGGAAAGGTTCATTTTTTGCCTCCGCGACGCCACAATGTTGTATCAAGAAAGCCGTAGGAAAGGTAAAATGTATCTGGCAAAATTAATTAAGTACAACTGAGTCAATCCTTTGTTAAACGGAGAGTCAAGCGACAGACGCACACAACCAATAGTAATGAGT